TTCACCAAGCAAAACAACAACTATAACCAGAAAAAATTCCAAAAATTCTCCTTTTTGGCGCTTCAGCTCTTTAATCCGAAAATTTAGCAACCACCACACAAGAACTTATACGTAAAACAACTTACAACAAAACCAACCCGTCTCGATTCAAGAACCTAGACGTACTTTCCCCTATACTTCGGCTTGGAGCTAAACTTCTCAAACGCCCCACCGTCAACCTGCAAATCCACCGGACTAAAAACGGCCGAATGCAAATTCCCCTCCTCCAACCACTTCAAATGGTTCTCCCTAAACTCCAAGTGCTTAACCCTAGCTGCCAGCTCAATCTCCTCACTATAAGGCGCGACTTTAACCATGGTCAGCAAAACCCTACTGTACCTGTAGCTAAGAATCTGCTCGCATGTCCCCACCAGATTGAAACACGGGTGGTCCGGGAAGGTGGGTTCCGGCGAATCTTCATCCCTCAGAACAGGGTAGAAGTAGACGAGCCGCCCGCCCATGACAAGCATTTTGGCTGCAAGATCGAGCAAATCGTGCACGCACTCGACCAGGCTGTAAGGAGCCGTGGAAGGTATGTGATCGGTTCTCTTATCGTCTGGGACTGTGTAAGGGCCAATGACGCCTTTCAGTAGCTTGCGGCCACCGGATTTGCGGCCGCCGGCTCGTACGCCGTAAGGTGGGTCGCATATTATGGCATCAAATACCTGCAAGAAAATGTAATGAAGGAAAAAAGGGGAAATATAGTGTAATGAGAATGAAAGAATAAATTGAATGGCAATGCATTGTCAGATTGTGAGAAATAAACCAAATTCAGGGGAAGTGGTGATGTGAATGTCAATTAATTGTAATTTGAATCGAAAATCGTTCACACGCTTAAATAGTTACTCAACCTATCGTGTGAATTGTCAATATAACTGTATTGTATGATGTCATGTCCTCTTTCAAGTCTAGTAGCAATTATTTTAAAAAAGGAGGCAAGTGCATAAAAAAAATGGTTGCCGGTAAGGGATTCATAGATAAATAATAGATAATGTTTGTTATGCCTTTCTGATAAAAAGGGAACTGAAAATAAATCTAATTAGAAGATAAACTGATGATACGAAAACTTGATGGTATTTCCTAAACTGAAGTTTGGATTGAAAAGTTAACGATACAGATATTGAGAAACGATTAGCATAAATCACTGGCATGAACAAATTACCTCTTTTAGACCAGAGCGCCAAGGTGGAAGATTATTATCAGCCCTTAGTAAGGATATCGGCATTGGCAATCCATACTGTATGAAAAGAGAGAAGAAAAAAAAAAGGTCAGGGTAAAAGAATAATCAGCATTCTAATGGAAATTAATAAAATATCAAAAGCTTCCTTTATAATTTCCCATCCTCATTTCCAAATAATATTTCATTTACAATATCATCCATCATTACTCTCGCATATATGTAAGAACCGTATATAGTAGCCAAATATGTGACATCAAAATGGAAGAGAATAAAAGTAAAATAAAAGATGGGCTTCTTACAGTAATCACGTTAAAAAAAATGAAGCAATAATTCCCTAAATTCGAGGATAAAATCTGAATACCTGTTTAAAATTGCTCCAGACGTTACAATCAGGTCCACGGCCATCACGAACTACTCGAATGTCAATATCTGCACCCTGGATTACTCAAATCAGTGGAAGTGTAAACAATTACCAATTAACTAGACAAAAACATGAACAAGCCAATTACGAGTTTCAACAGAGAAACCAAAAATCCGAACCATTGTCATTGCGCCAAAATGAGCAGCTGCAATCAGAATACTTCCTGTACCAACAAAAGGATCAAAAACAAGCTTCCCGGGTTTGACTTGTGCTTGGTTTGACATCAGGAATGCAATTTCGGCATCCATGGCTGTTGGCCCAAGATATTTGCGGCTCTTTAGCTGATAAGTTTGCAATATCTTCCTATCAGCGGCCCCTACTTCTCTACCAAAAAAGATTCTTCTTTGAACAATGGGAGGGAGTCCATTATTCTCTCCATAAACATCGTTATCCATCAGGCAGAATTTATGATCTGGATTTCGCAGGTTCACTTTCCCCTGAAAGATATTCAACTTAGACATTCACATTGGTGAAAAAGACATCAAAATCTCGGCAGATAAAATTGATTGTCCGTGCTAAAAAGTTTCTTGCAACTCCATATCTTAAACAGGCCTTGTATCTTTAACTACGTTCCATTGATGCCCAAAAAGAAAGACTTACAGAAATAACATCAATTTAGCA